TCTTTCCATATACAAATAACCACATGCTAATTAAATGGCCTTGCAAAACTTTTATCCCTTCCCGTAACTTGTTGCCAGCAATTTTATGCCTCATAGGTCGTGTTATTATAAGAAACTCTAAATATTATGGCAAAATCATTATAAATAATAACATTATCTCTCATGTTTTACTATGGACTTATTATGAAAATATTTATTTATTTATTTGAGCCCTTAATTTTATTTTTTTGGTTGGTTGCATTCTTTTTAGGGCCAAATTGAAGTTTAATTGCTTTAAATTTGTTGAAAAGGGACAAGTTTAAAAGAAAGGGGATTAGAATGAAAAGCTAGGGGAAATGGGTGGAAGTTTAAAAAATGGCATAAAAAGTTCATTTTGGTCCTTATACTTTCCAAGTTATATATTGGGTCCCTTAACATTTCAAAATTACAAATTTAGTCCAAAACTTAACTTTTCTTATTTTTAAACCCTTGGTGTGAGAGACGAAAGAGTAGTTGGATTTTTATGAAGGAAAGAAAATCTTGGTTGACATCGATCAAGATCACTAGAAAAATCAATTTTCATGTCAATATGTTTCTTTCGATGAGGGGTGTTTCACTTGATGTTCTTTGTCATTTTCTTTTCCTTAAATGGTAAATATGAGTGCAATAAGTTTTTTAGCTTCAAGTTGATTTTGAATTTTTATTTTATTTTAGGTCATGTATAGATTTATCAAGGTTTATAAATATTTTAAGTTAAAGTAAGTTGAAAATAGGTTTCGTTATATATAAAAAGACATCAACCTTAATTTTTTAGTCACTAATGTAGCTAAAATCTAGAAAGAAATGGGCAGCTTTTTTTTCCAGAAACATTAGGCGCAGATGATAGGTCGGTCACCCTTTAAAAATAATTCATCCTAAGCACATGGGCCTTAGCTTTTTTAAGTCGAGACGTGCCATGCCACCTAAGTCAGGCCTGCACGTTTAGACCTCTATTTTGCATTTGTTTTCTCAGTCCTTTTCTCTTTCTTCCAATCTCATTTAGGCTTGTATTGAATTTTTTTTTACAAGCCTTTTTTTTTGTTTTAGCTCGTTTTGAATAAAAGTTATAATGTTTTTTAATGTAATAACATTTTTTTTTATATTATGATACATTTCTTGTGTGTTGATTAGTATTTAAAGTGTATTTTTATCAAGATTTTATATTATCATTTTGCACTTGAAGTATCAAGTGCATTTTTATCATGGTTTTATATCATCATTTTGCACTTGAAGTATCAATAACTCCTTAACTAAAACATGTTTTATAATAACATATCTAATAATATAAGATACCTTTAATTTATGATAAATATTCATTTTAAATACAGGCTTATCACATAAATGAAAGGATTGATTTATAAGTATAAGAACTGAAATTGAAAGGACAAAGCGATGGCCAAACATAGAAAATAAATGTTGATACAGTTCAAACTAGAATACTGTTTGGTAATTGGGTCATATTTGAAACTCTAGATCTCGGATTTAGATCTACTTTATATGGATAAAAAATTAAGACATATGCCTAACTTTCATAGGAGCCCAAGATTTAAAAAGGTTATTTTCAAGTCTAAATTGTAGCAACAACGAAGAAGTCCGAATATATCCTGCAGCCCGAACACTATTCAATGTTTGGCTTATATCTAGAGTTCTATAAGTCCAAATAACTTAATTTTCTTTTAAAAAAAATGAGACAATTTACTAGAACTTTTATGTTTTCAAGTGGTTCCAGTTCTGATGTTATCAATGACGTTTTAAGCAAACAAAAAAAAAAGATAAGGATTGTCACCAACTCATTAATTGGTCATCACATCAATAGTTTCTAATTTTGGCCTATAAAAATAGGCATTTGCCATGCATTTAAGCATCTTGGTTTCCAGATCAAGATCATGCTCTTGTTTTTTCTCTTTGTATTGCTTAAATTTTACTTTCATTAATATCAAGTTTATATCTTTTATTTCCTTTCCTTTACTTAGTTAACTTTTATCATATTTATACTCGGATTTTGTTTATTTATATTTCTTTCTTTTATTATGTTTAATTAAGTTTATTATGTCAAGATGTAAAGGTTACACTAATAGTATAAGAATAAGTATGGTATAAACTTAACATGGACTTTAATATTTGATGCTAACATGTTTTGTATTTGTTATCTTGTTCACTTTTTAATACTTTGCTTGTTAAATGACTAGTCTAGATTTATGTTGTATAACACTTGGTACAACAAAGCCTATACTGTATAGTATAACCAACACCTGAGCTATGAAAAGAAATATGATTAGTTGTTAACATAAGTTATAATCATGAATACCTGTCAACATTTACAAGTATTAACATTATTCAAATAAGATAACTAATATAATCATGTTAACAATTTATAATCTGATTGGAACCTCATTTATGTGTAGTTTTCAATTGAATAATAAGAATTTATACTATACTTGTTTGGCATACCATTAGTGGATCCTCTAACCTTGATATTTGTTGTTATTATTGTTTAATCCTTACGTTAATTTTCCATCTCAAAGTTCTCATCAACTTCTTCTTCTTCTTCTTCTTCTTTTTCATTATTATTATTATTGCTATTGCTATTGCTATTGCTATTACTATTACTATTACTATTACTACTATTATTATTGTTACTATTGTTGTTGTTATTGTTATTGTTTATAATTGATATAATTAACATCTCTGCGGTTCGACCCCGGTCTTACTGGGTTATTTATTACTTTGACATTCCTGTATTTGGGAGAAGATATCAATTTTTTGGTTGTATCATATATAGCTCTGCTTAAAAAAACATAAGAGGTAGATAATAGAAACTAATCCTAGAGTAATGAGACTAGTGCTCTGATGAATTGGTAAATTGAGAAATTAATTCCCTCACTAATATGATTGGTGACTTGATTAATGAGCAAATTAAGAAACTAACTAGTTAATGAATGATTTGAGAAATGAATTCTCTAGTTAATAGGGTTAGTATCTTGATTAATGGATTATTAGAAAAACTAAATTCTTGGATAATGAGATTAGTATTTTGGTTAATAAGTAATTAGAGAATTCATGATGATTTAGTGATAGAATAAATGTCTGGTTTAGGTTAGTAATGATTTTTATATTTCCACAAGAATTGATATTAAAATGTTGAGGAATAATAAATATAAATTGTTTGATAAAAGATGTGGGGAATACATATATACATATATGTGCATGCCATAATATTTAATTATTATTGAGTGTAAAGCTAATTATATATAATATCATAGGCACACTCACCTTCATACTCAACAATTATTATATATATATATTCTGGCACCTCGCAACACCAATGTAAGTAGTAGTTCATTAATTTATATCTTCTTATCTAATTAAATGATATACTTGGAAGAACAAGTATTTTGTTTGTAATATAATTTTGTATCTAAAATTATATTTACTTATCCAATCTATATATTTAAAGAAATTATCTCTTTAAAGTATATAATTTAATTGCACTTTACTTTAGATACCCCGCGTAACAACATGCGTCTTGAATTATATAATAATTAAATTAATTGTCCTATTATTTTTTTATAATTAGAGAATATTATAACAATTGTTCTGTTGAGTGAATATTGAAGAAAACTAGGAACTTGATCTCATGGACAAGTTAAGAAAAACCCCGAAAGGATGACAAATATTAAGAGTATTATTTACAAGTTGTGAAAATTATTAAATTGATGAAAAAAATATGGGAGAAACTTTATCGGATTTTTCATAGAAAAAAATATTTTTAAGCTATTGAAAAATACCAAATTGCTCTCACAATAAATGCTTTTATTTTTCCCACCCAAGAGTAAAATATAATTTCACTGTCCAATGACAGTGGGTGATTGTGATTACTTTGTAGCCTTTTTTTTTTTTTAACTTTAAAGTAAATTTGATGCCTTTGGGAACCCAAGGCCCAACATCACTCCCGTCCCTCTAGGGAGAGAGAGAGAGAGAGAGACTGTTAAGGAGGAGGTTCACACAGTGGGATTCTCGGCATTAGCAGCTGCAGTTTCACAATTCTGTGGGAGAGACCTTTTCAATCAAAGTAATGCCCTCTCCGCTCATGCCTGCCTCTCTACTTCTTCTCATGTTTATTCGTTAACAGATGAACTGGAGTTCTGAATCTGGAGTCGATCTCTCCCAAGAACTCAAATAAAACAAAAGCAGCGATCCTGAGTGGTGGTGTAGTGACGAGCTTGACTGCTAACTATAAATTGCAATGTGCTTTGTCTGGGTTGAGAAACGGGTTTCTTCAAGAGTGGAAGTCCGCCCCCTGGATCAGGTTTGGGTTATAGAGTACATAGATATTACAGAGAAGTGCTGATTAAATACCCAAAATAAATAAATAACAATTTGTTAGTTTTTATTATTTATCAACTTCATGATAAAAAAAAATTAGTTGGTTGATTTTTGTTTTTATTTTTTTTAATTTTAATTTTTAATTTTTTTAATTTTTAAAATTAGATTAAGTTTTGAAAATTTATTTAGATTTACTTGGTTAATTATTATTATTATTGTCGTGTTTTAGAATTATATTTTATTATTGTTTTTTTAATTTTTTTTCTAGAATAGTTTCAGGTTTATTATCAGGGTTATAGGTTTTATTTTTTATTTTTAAAATTAATTTATCTTAATTTTATGGATAGTTTCAGGTTTATTATCAGTAGGTTTTATTTTTTATTTTTTAAAATTAATTTATCTTAATTTTATTATTTTTTATAATATTATTTTATCTTATGTTTTCATGAATTTCTCAAGTTTATCTAGTTTAATAATTTTTTTTTTATTTTTTTAATTATTTTTTATATATAATTTTACATTTGTTTGATAAAACATTATTGTTATTTTAAAATTATATTTTATTATTATTTTTTTTAAGGGTAGTTTCAGTTTTATTACTAGAGCTATAGTTTTTATTTTTTAAAATTAATTTATTTTAATTTTATTATTTTTTATAATATTATTCTATTTTATGATGTCATGAATTTCACAAGTTTATCTAGTTTAATAATTTTTTTTGTTTTTTTAATTGTTTTTTATATATAATTTTACATTTGTTTGATAAGCCATAGGTTTTGATCTAGGGTTTTTTTTGTCATTATTATTTTGTTATTTAATTTTTGTTATTGCATTTATATTATTTAAATTACTTATTTAACCAGTAATTTAGGTTTTGAATTTATTTTACATAAAAAGATTTGCCCAGCTGGCAGCAAAGCGCGGCCAGTAAAAATCTAGTTCACGTCTCATTTTACTAGCAAAAATGGTATGATAGGGATATATTAGTCATTTGCAGTCATTATACTACTAGTACCGTCTTGTAGTATGTCCATGTACTTTTCGAGATTTAGTGAAGGGTGTATATATATATATATATATATATGTATAACCCTGATCGGTTTTATGTTCCAGACAGGAGGAGGAGGTAAAATTTAAATTTAAAAAAAAAATATTTTTTATTTTTAAAAAATATTTTGATATACTAATATAAAAAAATAATTTTTAAAAAATAAACTTTTTTTTTTAAAATAACTGTTATTAACTTATTACACTTGAAGGAGAAAGAAAAAAGCACTGCTAGCTAGCAATTATTTTATGGGTCGATACTTGATTTAGTTTTTAGCCCTAGTCATTGTGCAATTCGTAGAAAGCCTGGCTATATACTGACAGATCATACCAACCAGGATAAAAACACTAGGGACTGTATATGCTGCAAATAACGTGCACAGATGTAGAATTGCTGTCAGCCGATCAGCTTGGTAAGGAAAAGGAAATAAAATAAATCTTACAGGCAGTAGCAGAGGATTAGTGAGAGATGCTTCAGTGGAGATCAGAACATCGCCATTACAATTACTTTGATTATTCAGTCAGTCGCCTTTGCTTTCGCTGATCACTGTAAGTGATGGCCGCCAGGCAGCAGAATTTCGAGGTCTCCCATTTCCCCGGTTAGATCGAGAAACGGTAGTGCTCGAGCTCTTTAAGGAAGTGTCGTGATCCACCTTATTACCTTTCTTCTCCGAATTAGTTGAGTTGTGACCTCCCTTGTGCTTGACAGCAATGCCTGCAAATCTTACATACTTTTTAACACCAGTCTTCTTCCTTAAAGCGCTTCTGAAGGAACTACTCGAGTCCCTTGAAACACCAGTACTAATGTCACTCTCTGAGAAGAATGATCTGCTCGAAACATCATTATTGTTTTGCCGAGAGACCATGTCAATCTCACTTGGTTTTCCAATCTTTCGTCGAAGCTTCCTCACGGCATGATGAGGAACGAGCAAGAATTTCTGTCCTGGAGTAAGGATTTTTTCTGGCCGGACCACTGAATTCCATGGCCTTCTGAAAACCTCTGGCTTAGCTAATGCATGAGAGGGATATTTCTCCAAGATCCTGGCGGCAGGTATTGCCATATAATAGCATTCAACTCTCCCTCCAGGATGGATAATCTTCAAGGCAGAGGAAGCAATCTCCAGCTTCTCAGGAGTCGTTGGGTTTGCTGGCTTAGGGAGGTCACTGCGTGCGAAAGGTGAGAGCTTATGAGCTTTGAGTAACTTGTCGAGCATGTTGACAGTTTCAGCGGGGAAGCTGAGGAACAAGGAGGCTGTACTCTCCTTTTATGGCATAGCCTTGGAGCATCCGACGGGTTCCAGAGACCACAATTCCATCCAATGAGTTAAGGCTGGCGCTGGGGGTCAAAAGATAAGAAATTTGTGTCGAAATAGATAAGATCGATGCAAGGATACAAAGGAGTGTCCGAGGCAGGCCATATTATTTGTAATCTAGCTTTTGGTGAGGTTTCTCGATTCTGCAGACTGCCGGCAAGTCTCAAAAGAATTACTGCGAACCTTCATAGCACACACCAAGGCCGGACCGCAAAATCTATTCAACTAGCAAGTGATTCAATCAACTCGATCAAATCTGAGTGTAGGTGTACCAAGATTAGATCCAAGTATTTTTTTTAATTTTTATCTTAAACATTATTATTATTATTATTATTAGTCCAAAATGATGTCGGTTTTTAATCCAAATAGCATTGAATCATTAAGTCCAAAATGATGTCGTTTTTTAATCCAAATAGCATTGAATCATTAAAATAAATCTAAAATGATATTATTTTGGTTTTTTTTAATCCAAGTAGCATAGAATCATTAAAAAAAATAAAAAATAAAAATCTAAAACAATATTATTCAAGACCTAGAATGATCAAATCAATCCACTTTTATACAAGTCACAATATCTATGCTCAACTGTCACGCAAGTAACATGGCTCGAACGAACCCTAGCCTAAATATACAAAGGTCTTCGTTGATAGAGATTAGATAAACTCAGCCATGCATGATTTTTCAAGCATTATTTTAATATATTTTCAAATAACAAAACATTTTAAAAACAACTACAATCACATCACATCCAAGCACCCTATAAAATCTTAATTCGACCTAAGGATTTCCATGTCAATATTCAATCAAATGGCTAATGTTCGTGTCTTTCTGTGAACTGGAAAACGATGAGCACATTGCCAGGAAATCAACACTAAGTTCCTCAACGTTGAGTGGCAACTTTCATGGCCTAAACACAATTAATCCAATGAGGGGCACACTACCTTACCATCACCGAGCATAGAAGAAATGATCTTGTAATGGCCCGCTCTACTCGATAGCAGCAAGAACGCAGCCTTCAGATGTCAAAAACTACAATATTGCAGCCTTCAGATGTCAAAAACTACAATATTCTAACCAGGAAACTTCCTCCTTGAAAAGGCTGTTCAAGAATGTACATAGGTGTCGATTGAAACAATGGAATGCCACCTTTTTTCTTATACCAATTACAACAGTTCCGTACATCCGTTTCTTGCTATCAAAATTCACTTTACATATATGACAGAGGAAAGACTATGAAAAAAAGGAATAGGAACGATTATCCACCAGCCTATACCTTACCTTCCAGAGCCCTAAAGAACCTCGACATCAGAAAGAATTGGAAAAGATTCTCACCACTCAACAATAAAACCCTAAAAAAAGTTCAAAGATTTAAGAAGTAAACGGGGGGGAATAAAGGCTTGGAACTGACATGGAAAATGGTAAACACCATTAGGCGCAACCAGAAAAAGAAAAACCTGCACATGCCCACCTCCACTAACTTAAAAAGGTCAATATCAGTTACATGCAAACTGCACCTTTTATGCCCTCAATCCAAGCAATTAGACGATACTATTGGCAGAATTCCAGCCCCATTTTTTAGATTTACACTCTCAAGTCCAGCCAATGTTGTATCATCTTGCTGTTGACCTCCATCCAAACTTGTTGGAGTTCACAAAAAATATCCCAAGATTGGACTTGTTTCCCTGGTATATAAAAAGAAAAATCTTATCCATGTTTTAGTAGTTGCTAGGCCAGTTGATCTGTTGATGTTGAGACTGCTGGTAAGCACTGGCTGCAGGCCCTAGCATATCAACAGCTCCACCCATGGCCTGAGACTGTTGCAGAAGTGGGTGAACAGCTGCTGCAGTTACTGGTTGCCCAGGGTGATAGATATTGGTATAGGTGCCATGGGAAGCCTGAGTTGGTGCAAAAGCCACATGCTGACCTTGAGGAGGAAGGTTGTAAAAGGTACTTGCCGGCAAGCTAGATATGTCTCGGCCAGGGGTAGTGATCCACACAGCCGAGCCCTCACTCTGCGGAAGCAGATCCATCAGATTTGAGATCAAAATATCATTTTAAAGCAAAAACAACAAAAAAGGAGACTTTATGTGCTAAAAATGAGGGAATGCCAGTTTGAAAACCTGAACACGCATTCTATGGGCCTAAAAGTATTCACATGACTAACATTGACCACATGCCCTGACAATCATCTTGAACAGGTTCTCTTGTAGAGAACAAAAAGCATTGACATCTTTCAAGAAACTGAGAAGTAAGTTTGATCTAAACATAGCACTTAGATTTCTATATGCTAACTAATCTTTCCAAATAAGCATTAGCATTCTATACCACACAAGTTTTCTGCAGGAAAGCTATTCTGAATCCTGGATAATCCAAAATAACTGGAATTAGTCATTCTGATTAGTTTATCCAGTTGTTAAATCCTACGCTGGCTGATTCCACACCACCCCCCCCCCCCCCCCCCCAAAAAAAAAAAGAGGTCATCCATAGCATTTCACTGATACCATGCTATCCAAATCATTGAGCTCCAATATTATGGCCAAGTGGCAGGCTCAAAGTACTGTATTCAAATTGAAACGTAGCCACCAAAACAAGAGGTAAAAGATATGGAGAAAATGGCAGTAGCACATGCAGATATCGAGCAAACCAGCTAAAGGTCAAATGTACATAGTATAAAATTCAAATGCAAGCATCATGTTGATTAATCACAACAATCATCAGCTACAACCAAAAACAAAAAGGTCTTCAGCAGAAACTGCAGCCTGTCACTATCACCACCACCATTTTCATTTCCATCTCCCAGGCCTCCAAAAACACCACTGGTGCTAACAGTAAGATTAAAGAATCCCAACCAATATTGCAACTACTTCCATAACAATATTAATTCCAAGAATGAGACTACTATTTATCAAAATTGATCATAAAATTGACATCACAGCCTTCAGTGATGCAACCAGCTATGTTTAGATGAGCAACTTAGATTCTCCAGCCACAGAGGATAAGAATATAAAACATTAAGAATTAATCATAATAAATTACAGAAACATCAACTATTAGCCTACCTGCTGCCCAGTAATGTAGATATTACTTTCCTTGAACTGAGATGCACCAAGATCATCATTTGTGGTTGAGTTTCCTCCTGTCACTGCAGAATTGGGATTAAAACCAGCAGGAGAGGAGCCATATGGTCCATAACCACTTGGCATCCCAATGTGTGTTGCATTTCCTGTATTACTTCCAGGTTTGAATTGTGGAAGTGAATATTTGACCCCTGTGGCTGCTGCAGATGGTGGTGCTGGATATACACTGCCGGCCTGAGGTTGCTGTAGGAAGGTACCATTGCTTAAGAACTGGTAGATACCTGGAGCCACATAAATTGGGGAGATGTAATGGCCATATGGGATGTAGTTTGGGGGGAAATGGGATGTGTGCAACCCAGTTGGTGGACGAAAGACAGGGACAGGTTGCTGAGTCACAGCTATGGAACTTTGCATGAGCCCAGCAGCTTGGGTCACCAGAGTGGGACCTGCAGTGGATAGAACTAAAGAATTCCCACCCTGCAAATAGACATGCACATTATTAGAATTCAGAAACATAAGAAAAACATCTACACACATGCTTATCTTCATGTCAGACACAATTCAGGCATTCCATCCAAATGGATCCACAATACTGGAAGCTCATGAAATCACCTCACACATTGCAAAATGTCTTATCCATGTATATGATTATAGTAACTCGTAAAAGACCAGCATTGCTTGTAGATGAGCAAAAGATGATACAACAAATTATTAGCTAACATTGCAAAACATGACACACAATTACTGTAACCAGCAGCTAGGTGTGGTGCCCTCAACAACAAGGACCTGTGATTGCTATCAATGTTTTGGTAATGCTATTCCATTCCACTTCTCATGAAGATCATCTAGAAATGCTTCGGTGTCTAATACCTACAAATGCAAACACATCATGGCTCTATTAACTATTAGTGCCACCATAAACTTCACTAATAATGTACTGAGGTAGATTACATAAGAGCCTGTGACCAACTTGGCAGTAATACAGCATCATTCAGCATGAGATAGTAGATCTGACAGCAATTGTCCAAGGCAGCCAGAATGGCCATCCTTAAACAATATTGCCCCTTGAATCTCTTCAACTCTCCCTGGATCTCAAAGGCAACAACACAGGGCAGCAGCTTGCAAAACTAACTTGACTTTAGATGTGATGCCAAGCTGCTAGGTCATTAATAAAGACTATCCAAATGACATATTACCCGATTTGAACATCCAAAATGCAAAGCATATTGACATGGTTAAAAAACTAGATATCTGATGTTGAACACCAGCATACTATAAATTGGCAATAACAGTAACATATAGTTTTACAGAGCTAAATATGCTCTACACAAAAGCTTGGAATAACTTATGAAAATTGCTGAAACACATAGGAGGATCCCCACTCAATAAGATAAACAGATCTTTAACACTAATTTCAGAATACTAAGCAAAGGGGTAAAAAACAAATAATCCTCTTGAACAAAAAATCAAGTTGACCTCTAGCAAGACTACAAAATGAAAGGAGCCCATTGATTAGATTCCAGCATACATCTTCAACAAGGGATTCAAAAGTAAACCCAAATGAGGTTGACATGGCCTGACAACAAATAGTTACATTATATTTGTGCAATTTGGGGCTAAACTGTGCAGTAAAGCATTCAGAGGCTAAAATTTGCGTTGCAAGCCTTGATAACTGATAACAGAAAATACAGTACTATTTCTCAAAGAAGAATAACCAACTGTGCAGTAAAAGATTCATGGAATACCCAAACCATAACCCAAAAATTTAAAACATTCAGTCAACACGGAGTGATTTTAAAAAACAAAGTACTATTTCTTGAAGAATACAATCAACGAAAACTCCAAAGGTTTTGCTTAAGTGCCAAATTAAAGAGAGGATTTTATCTATTGAAACCTCTTGGGGAGGCTGTGAAGCATGTGGAGGCAACACTGCAACATTCCCATTGTATTTGGAAGCAACTCCAGGGGCAGGAAAGGGAGAAACACGACCATCACCATCAGCACTTGAACGATAAAATTGGGCATAATAACTTGGAGGGTCAAATGGTTGCTGGACCTAGACACAGAAACCATCAAATAACCACCAGTATGTTAAAGCCAAAGTAATATTCCAGCCAATTTATCAAAAATTAATGATTTAATTATAACTTAGTCCTTGTAGTTTACAAAAACAATTAATCAATTCTTGTAGTATAAAAAATAATAAAGTCTCTTGACCAGTGTTGACCACGCT